AAACAGAAACGCCTGCAACGAACACGACGGGCGGGGGGAACAGGCTCAATCCAACCATGCACCAGTTGCTCGCTCTTAAGGCATCGCGTTCGTTCGGTTGCAAAGGATGTAACAAGTACCGAATCTTCTTACCTCCGATCCTCCCTGGAGTGCCCGAGATCCGTGGGATGACGAGTGAAAGCCGGGATGCAATAGCACCAAATACACGGGGAGGGGAGAGGGTTAGTTCCAGGAAGAATATTTTCACGCAATACAACAACACAAACAGAAACGCCTGCAACGAACACGACGGGCGGGGGGAATAGGCTCAATCCAACCATGCACCAGTTGCTCGCTCTTAAGGCATCGCGTTCTGTTCGGTTGCAAAGGATGTAGCAAGTCCCGAATCGTCTTACCTCCGATCCTCCCTGGAGTACCCGAGATCCGGAACGCCGGGATGCAATAGCACCAAATACACGGGGAGGGGAGAGGGTTAGTTTCAGGAAGAATATTTTCACGCAATACAACAGCACAAGTCGAGGATACACTCATGGCATATTCGGGAGGCCGGGTGCACATGAGACGAATGGAAAAGCTGACACATGAAACCGCACTAGGTACATTTACTAAAAGGGTCAGCTACACGCCTCGAAAGCAACAAGACCAACCTCGCCAACGATCTTCCTTCAATGATAACAACAACAAACAACAACAACAACAACAACAACAACAAATGTACGAGTTCAACAAATATTCGATTGCACAAAATTACCTCCACGTGCCCACTGCTCGTCTTTGAATGTCCCTCCTACTTTTTGGTTGAGTCCGACGGTCTCCGGGCACCATACCAGCCCCCCGAGGAAGACCAGGGCAAGAATCGCCTCGTGTAGCTCCCTCGACGATCTGTAGGGGTCACGCCTCCTCCACACATAAGTCTCGGTTCCCACCCTGTCGATGGCGTCCCCTCCGACAAGCACTAGCCCCGCCGGGACGTTCCACGCGGGACCGTCGTTCGCCACGCGGCCGTTTACCTGACGAGGCTGCCTCGCGCGGACGGCTGTTGGCGGCTGCTGGAGCCCCCTGGCATACTTTGTGGGTGGCGGCAGACAGCCCCTCGCCAGAGATGAGCAGGCGCAACGCACCGTTGTCCCACTCGTGCCGGTTGACTTTGGCCCGGACGGACCCGCAAAGGGCAGACCCGACGCCCATCTCGGACTCCCGCGCCTTGACCATGGCGAGCGTTGTCTCCTTGCACCAAACCTCGTAGGCGTGCACGTAATTCACCTGCCCCCCGTGGCCCTTGCCCTGATCGAAGACCTCGATCCCGCCCTTCTTCATCTCGTTGTCGGTGAGTGGGCGTTTGCTCAACTGGTCGAGGGCAAGCACTTGGTTGAGACCGTACTCCCCACACGCTTCCCGAAGGACTACATATATCGATGCATCGTCCCCCATGCTCTTGGCTTGGCGACTTCCCGCGCGATCTCCCCCATCTTGGCGCGGTTGCTGGCGAACGTGGGGCCATCCATGGCCGCCGTCATCCTCTCGAACACCTCGGTCTGATGGGGTTCCAAAGGAGCATGCGCGACCTACAAATACGCAAGCGGGGAGAGAGGGGGGCGAGCAGGCAGGATAGTGGTTGGCATGTTACGCTTACAAAGAAACGACCGCGACCAAGCGTGGGAGGGGGGCACAACGCGAGAGATAACAGCAAATCCGCAAAGATTGTCGTGTCCGACGGACATAGCGTTAGAAGAGGGCGCCGGACTCCGTGCGCCAGGTTTGGTTTCTCTAGACGGGGGTACCTCGTTAGACATGATGCAAGACTACCGAGCAGACCGCCGGCTAGCCGTAGTGAGGTCAAACGCTATCAATTCGACGACATACATCCCCAATCTTGTCCCGACTACGCTAATCAACATTGACACCTGAGTTCTCCATGGCGCTGACAAAAAATGAATCAACACCATCCCGGTTGATCGGGCGTTAAGATAGGTTTGGGTTGTTGGGTGCTTCAATGGTTGTATGGACAAAGTTACGCGGGTACGGCAGAAACGACATACATTACTCGATCGGACACGCCATTTTTGCTTGGACAGCACCAAATGGAATGCTGGAAGAGAGTGATGGGGAAGCGGTGGGGGGCAAGGTGACCGCACTCGAAACCATTTCGCACAAAACTGAACTCCTTCCTCCTTGGTTTCTTACATCGAAGCCCGGACTTGGGGGCGTTGTGCGGGCCCACTTGCCCGGTTGATCGTTGGCCGCACGGGCTTTGCCCTTCCCTCCCGACCTCTCGGGCGTGGGCACATCGCCATCCCCTTTGTCGCCGGCCTGTAAGTTCAGCATGAGAGTTAGGGCTGGATGGTGTTTCGTCCTGGATCATGCTCGCGTGCATAAGGTCAAGATAATCGCCAACACGGTGGTACAGCAGATCCTAAACATACATACCATTTTACGTTTGGATAGCACCAAATGGAAGGCAAAGAGAGGTCGTGCACAGTGATGATAGGGGGGGCGGGGGGTGTTCGCAACAGGTGGACACAAAAGTGAAAACCCACGCGAGGCTTGTTTGGTGTTGGGGCGGGAAAATGTGAAATCCTCGCGAATTTGCAGGTATCATATTATGTTTCAGAAGAAAAAAAGGAACGTAGGTGAACATTGACAGCAGTATATCTGCTGCTGTCTGCTGTACAGCTAGGACGTGGCCACTAACCAAGTACTCGGCCGGCGTGAAATAGACGTCAATCAACTAACGCCATCCAATGCCAACTCGGATTGGAACAAGCCCGACCCCATCGAAGCCCCTGATCTAGCCACGTACCCCGAGAATGCCCATGGCGTAGAATGACGACGGCGGAGTTGATAGTTCGCCCCGCTCTCCTACGGCGGCAGGTTCCACTGACATGGCACTGCTGTTCCAGGGTTTCCAACCACCCGTCCCGTTGCCGGCACTTGGCGATGGTTGCTCGCCCCCGGCACGCAAATGTTCACCGACGTCAGGGAGCCCCCCCCAAACGGGTCTGCGAGGGGCAGGGGCTGGGGCTGGGGCAGGAGTCGGCTCTGGGACAGGGACAGCCTGAATGCACGCGAGGATGTAGTATCAATAAAGTGCTCTGAGGTTGTTACTACCATCGGAGACATTGGTCTCGGTATGGATGTGACAGGGGCCAAAAGTTGCTGCTTGCTACTCTCGCGTGCGAGTACTGCTGTACACGCTAGCAGTCAGTGGATGTCTGTGTGTGTGTGGGGGGGGGTGGATGCTATATATGGGAAGGGACCAACCGGTCTACTAACCGTTCGCAATTCTACCGCCACATGTTTACCACAGGCACCGAAAGTCGAATTAGAGCAGAGTAGAGTCATTGACAACTCTGGAGTTTGGTACATTCAGGTATCCGAGTCATTTGAGAGAGTAATTTTACTCGGAGTTAACCCTCTCAGAACCCTGCGTTCTTGAAAAACAAAATATTGGACCCAAACCACAAAATTGAACATAGTTACACAAGAGGATGTGTCAACATTTTTGTCAAATAAAATGACGGCATATTCGAGTCTAAAGCTGTAGTTCTGGTGTCGTTCTAACCTACATAGGGTAGAATCGGTAAAGCTTACGGCAGGTTGATTCAGTGTGTGTGAGGGAACGCACAGCAGCAACATGTGGGTACTTTCTTCTCATATCTCTAGCACATCCGCAAAGCAGAAGAAGCAAACAGAAGGAAGCATGTATCAAGCTGCATGTTGCCTGTAACTATCTTTGTGTTATTGTAACACAGATGCTGTTGTGTGTGCGATAGAAGCAGCAACAATACATGGTATACAATAGCCTACATGGAATACAATAGACTATATGTTCATGTGTACAATGCACACGGCGTTTCTGCAGTACAGTACATACAAAAGTCTACATCAGGTGTGCTGCCGTAGCAGCGTAGTAGCAGCCAGAAGTACATCGGTAGTCACATGGTGTATGTGTACAAGAGGTATCGGCATGATGTACATATGCAGGCAATACTACAGCAGTAGTAGGGATAGGAGTAGTAGTCTACTCGTATCATACAGGTGTCGACAAGTCGACGACGCGTGGTAAAGAGGGTTAACTCGGGTGGTAGTAGACCTTCGGCGCCTGTGGTATTTACCCACAACAGCAGTACCTGGTACATACGAACTTCGAAGTTTGAATGCTACACAACAGCAGGTACGGCGGTATCTACCAGGTACCTTAGAGAAGTAGCTGCATATGCTGGATCTTCCCTCCATGACCTTGCCTGTGAAGGCTGTGCTCTTCTTCAGTGTGGGTCCCATTGATGTTGTATGTGTGGTACGAAGCACGAGGGGAGGGCGATGGGAAGTGGGTAGACTTAGCGGGACCGTTTGGATGGGATGTATCTTGATGTCCGTGAATTGAAGCGACTTGCGCCGGTACACGAGGCATGGAGTATTGGCATTACGATCTCCATTCACTGCACTCGGCCTCGGGACAGCAGGAGGGGAGGGAGAGACGACACCAGAAACAGCTACCTTTGGCTATGTATCTGGAGGGGTGAGGGGGATATGGGTCTGGTTTTGACCTCGAGATCTTCGTCACCTCGACGCCGACGGCACATGTACACATGGCACACACACGCGGCGGGTTCTCAAGACTTTTATGTCTAATACTACGGCGTATCTGGTTAACCCAAGCACGATTCAAAGTAAGCGAGGAACAAATAATTCAAAAATGCATCGCGTGTGTTGGTCTTGTCACCTACTGCTGCTGCCATGCACCGTGCCTGCCGCTGGGTCACCCTCTTCTTGGCCACCAATACCGAAGGTAGTATCCACTTGTTGTTGACGAGTATGCCCCCGCCGCACCTCTATGGATGTCTCGGGTCTTGTCGTGTTCAAACGTTCGCGCACGCTACTTGTGTCGCTTGTCCCGTGTCACCGAACTCTCTCTCTGCTCGTTTTTTTTTTTAATGTTGTCACAGCTGGCGGTGTAACAGATTGGCCAATCAAACACTACCTACGCGTCCGTGTAAAAGGTCGATAGATTTATTTCTGCGGCTGTTTCTCGGTGTCCGTTGACAACACCCATCGACAACATACAGACCTCCGAACTCCAGGTGCAGCAGAGTGACAGCGGTGGCAGCATCCTACTCCTGCTGTCCTATGTAGCCCCCATAGCCTCCCCCATAGCCTAACGGTACAAGTGCCTGCTGTGTTAGTCCGTTTCCATTCCTTCAACACTGACTGACTGATAATTGTTGTTTTTACCTGTCGCTGTCTGCTCGGGAGCAGAAATACAGCAGCAGTCATATTTAGTTGTTAGAGTCGTCCACAGCAGTCCAAACCACCCACCACACGAAAACGATCGGACGTACCATTCAGAGGGCTCGCTAAGGATGCCTCTCTCGGCGCTGCCCCGATGCTACCGTTGTGCTGACCGGAGAATGTCAATCCATCAGCCGGCGACATCATCGACTCAATCCTCATCATTGCTCATGTGTGGCAAATTTGGAAATTTGAAAATTGTGAATCTCAGGGAGAACATGCGGCTTCGTCGACGACGTGGATGATGACATCGGACGACCAGGGATTTTTTGCCCTTTCTTTGGAACGGTCTTTAAAAAAATTGGTCAATCAGGAAACTGCGGGCACCTTTTCTCTCTCCCTCTGACCGGAGAATGTCAATCCATCAGCCGGCGACATCATCGACTCAATCCTCATCATTGCTCATGTGTGGCAAATTTGGAAATTTGAAAATTGTGAATCTCAGGGAGAACATGCGGCTTCGTCGACGACGTGGATGATGACATCGGACGACCAGGGATTTTTTGCCCTTTCTTTGGAACGGTCTTTAAAAAAATTGGTCAATCAGGAAACTGCGGGCACCTTTTCTCTCTCCCTCTGACCGGAGAATGTCAATCCATCAGCCGGCGACATCATCGACTCAATCCTCATCATTGCTCATGCATGACAAATTTGAAAATTTGAAAATTATGAATCTCAGGGAGAACATGCGGCTTCGTCGACGTGGATGACGACATCGGACGACCAGGGATTTTTTGCCCTTTCTTTGGAACGGTCCTTAAAAAAATTGGCCAGTAGAAAACTGCGGGCACCTTTTCTCGCTCTCTCTACATCAGTAGGTAGCCCCGCTCCCATATAAGTTGTGCGGTGGACGGACCCCTGAAACCGTCGGTTGCTGCTACTTCGCTTGCATGATACGACCCAGAGGGCCGCCGAGCACCTAAAGTCTCTAATTTTCCCACCATCTAGACTAAATGTAGAAAACATAGAGAAGGGGGCAGTAAAATACCGTCGATCACGACACTACACAATTTCCGCTACCCGCGGGGATAGCCACCCCCGATGCCGGTGCGTCCCCGGTAAGTTTTTTACCTCTTGCCGACCTTTGTAGCCCATTCGGACTACTTGATCCCCAAGATTGCGGCGACTTCTGCCTGCCGCGGCCCGGTTCGTCGGCAGCTGCCACCGCCGCCGCTGCCACCGCCGCGTCTGTGGCTCCTGGTGGTGCGCTTGCTCGTGCAGGAGACTTCGAAGAGGCAGCTGCGGCCGCCGCTCGCGCTTTAAATTTCCACCCTAGTCGCCCCGCCATGTCATAAGCCGACCCGACTGCCTTCAGGGTCTGGGGAGCGGTCGTACAATGGAGAAAATGACGGAAGAAAGTCCCTCTCGGTAAGGCGGCCTCATTTACTACCACACTTTGGGTCGACATTTCATCTCCCGTCCAAGGGTGAGGTTCAAGGACGTCATCTCTCTAATGCCCAATGTGCATTGGAGCTAGTACCTTCCGGCACCAACAACTATAGGTCGCCGTAACAGCGGGCCGTAGTCGCCGCACCACCTGTCACTGATAGCTTGCGATAGCTAACCCTACGCAAGCGTCCATCATCGTCAGCCCGTTGGTGTAAATCGCGAACGTCTCGTGGCGGCAAATGGAAACTGGAGGGGGCGCGTAGTGAATCGCTGGATGCCAGCTGCAGCATTGCCATATTGTTATGGTCATACGGGGTTTGTTTACGCGTGAAGAAGACTTCGAGCGTAGGCTATGGCTGGCCCACCTTGTTGAGAGTGTCTGGCTCTTTCCCTGCTCCCTTTTTCCCTTGTGGCGTACCGTCTCCGCCCGAGGAAGGTTTGCCGAAGCCAAGGTCCCGGGCGCCGCCACTATCGCTGCTACTACTGCTGCTTGTGCCGCCCCCGCGGCGGCCACCGTTGATGCTGATGTCGTTGCTGCTGCTGCTGCTGCTGCTGCTGCTGCCGCTGCTATTGCTACTTCCGCTACTGCTGCTGTTACTACTGCTAGAACTACTGCCACTGCTACCACTGCTGCTGTCACTCCCAGCTCTTCCTCGTGCCGGGGCGCCGCTGCCATCGCCGCCGTCGCCTTTCGTTTTGGTAGCACCATTATTTTCGCCACCGCCACCGCCACCCACGTTAGCTTCACCGACAACGATGGGGGTGGCGGTCCCACCATCACCACTGCTCTCTACCCCACTGTTACCACTATCACTCCTACCACTCTCGCTTCCGCTGCTACTGCTACTGCTGGCGCTACTATCGTCCATTCTTGTCGCACCGATCGTTCCTTTCTCCCCTCTTGTTACGGCCGAAACTCCTCTTCTTGGTGCTCGGGAAGCTTCGCCCTCGTCTTTACGAGATTCATCCTCGTCGTCCTCGTCGTCAGCCTCAAGGCTCTGGAGGCTCTGGACAGCGCCGCATGAGCCCACGGCCTGTCGAGTTTCGCGTAGGAGAAATGGGAACTCGTTTTAACATGTTCGTTTTTTTTGTCTAACGTATCTGCACTTTCTTTCCGTTGCATAAACCACCACGACGGACACATCTTACGTGTACTTCCATCGATTCGAGTCCAGGGTTAAAAAAACGCGATAAATCATTGTTTAAGCGACCCACAGGGTTAGTTGTTCGCATCGCATGACACTCAGGGTATATTGGTGCGGGGGGGGGGGGGG